GTCCAGCTGGCTTGGAACCTGCTTTGCAGATTCTGCCTCTCCAGCACTGGGGTTAAGGCTGCCACCATGCCCTGCGACCTTAACCTTCTGATCCTCCCGCCTCCATCTCTCGGTGCCAGGATTATGGGATTACAAATGGGCACCACCATGCTCAGTTTATGTGGTGCTGGAGATAGAACTCCGGGTTCTGTGCTAGGTAAGCGTTGTACCTACTGAGCTACATCTCCAGCCCCCAAACACGAACCCTTAACTGAAACTGCACCTCATAGCCTTCACTTTTGCTGGCCTTCTTTGGGAGGTGGGTTTACGCGTAATGATCACTTACTGTTTTTCTCACCAGGCCCTGGGGATGCCCATCCACGGCCCCCCCACCCTTTCTGTGGCCTGTCCTGTCTCTTCATCTGAACTCTAAACTGCAGTAAACCCTGGGTGGTCCCAGTCCTCTGGCCTCAAAAGCCAGCTTTACCCGGCCAACTCCCTTGTGCATCTGAAGCCCTAGATGAAGACCCACCTGCAGACCTGAAACCTTGATTTCCTATCCTGACTGGCATGGGTCTCCTCCTTCCTCTGCCCCACAGCCTTAATTTCCTCATTCTCCTTCATGCTTGCCAGCAAACCTCTTCAGCCATCATCAAGTTTCCATCACAGTACCCCCCTCGCAACCTGGGTCCCAGGCCATGAACTCTCTCCCCTGAACCCTCACGGTGGCTGCTGGGAGAACCAGGGTGGTATGTGGGTAAGAGGGAGCCTGGACTTGCGGGGAGCTGCAAAGCTCATTTGGAGGCATGTGTTCCCGAAAGGAATACCCCAACTGTGCTAGAATGACTTGGTGATGATGGTCTAAACTCCAACAGACCTGTGTGCCCAAACATGCAGAGCCTGCTGGACTGCAGACTCAAGGGAAGCCCCTACTGACTCCACCAGTACAGCCAGGGCAGGGGGAGGCCAAATGAAGGGCAGGTCTGAGGAGGGAAGTCGTGTGGGGTGGGCGGGGCCCAAACACAAGACTCAGCCCCAGGCTACAGCTCATCTAAGTTGGACCCATCTTCTGGAGACAGTGTCCCTACATGACCCCAACTGCCTCGGTGGGACAGGAACGGATGCCTGGCACAGAGGACTGGAAAAGACACATCTGTCCATCACTGGACAGTCTGTGCTGGGTCTGCAGCAGGTGTTCCTGACACTGAGTTCCTGCTGTTGGTGAAACAAAGAATTAAGCAAACATCAGGATAAGAACTACAAACAGGGGACAAATAGAGACGAAGGGGCAGGAGAGCATGCCGCCCTCTGAGGCCCTGTCACGGGACACAGTGCAAACACAGGGCTCCTGACTGCATGGCACCCAGGAGGACAGCTGCGACTGCCTCACAGGGCAGGGCTAGGTTCTGCTGTTCTCTGCTGGAGGCTGTCGCGCTTGTCAGCCCACTCCACCCCCTCACCCCCCAGTCAGCAGCTTCCATGACACTGAGTGTCTGTGGAGGTCAGGGGCGGGATGGGTCAGGGAAAGCACGTGAGTATGGTGCGGAAAGGAGGAACGTAAAAAGCTTCAAAAGGAGGAAGGGGGTGGTGGTATGGTGGCCTGTGGGTCCAGCCCCGGAGTTGCCGCTGCCTTCCAGCCTGTGTCTGCTGTCATCCCTAGTCACTCTCACAGAGTGGCAAAGGCTGAGATTCCCAATGTAACAGTACCTCGGGGCCTTCGGTGTACCCAGCACAACTCTAGACAGTGGGTGACACTCATGACTAAGACAGACCAACACCCCTGTCCCCAGGGTGCACATATTCCAAGTCACAGACGGGCCATGCAGTCACACTCTGGCTCTAAGAGGCCCGTGTGGCCACAGTGGAGTTGGCTGGGGACAGGAAGGCCACAAGACCTCAAAGTCTGGTTAGTGAGGTTTGATGGAAAGGAATGGCACAGGCCAGAGAGACCCCGCATGGTGGACTGGGAGTCACAGGTAGGCAGGCTCCCAGGGACTGTAAGCCTGACAGATGGTGGGGAGGGCCTCATCTAACCATAGGCTTCCAGTCTCAGTATCTAGATCAGGTGTGCTGGGTGCTCACCTAACTGGGGGAGTGGGGATGGGATGGGGGTGGGGCCTTGCTCAATCAGTGGAGGGCCCTCAGTTTTCCTGGAACTGGAGGCTAAGCCCACGAGCATTGTAGGGTGATGGTTCCTCCTGAACCCCTCCAATCTCGGAGGACAGGAGACCCTCCCAGTGGCACTGGCATCTTTATTTACATCTATTTGCTCACCACCTCAGTAGTATATGGATGACTGGTTTTTGAGACAGCATCTCCCTATAGACAGCAACTTGATACTTAGACCAGGCTGACCTCAAACTCACAGAGATCTGCCTGCCTCTGCCTCCCCAGTGCTGGGATTGAAGGTATGTGCCACCATGCCCAGCTGTTTTGGTGACTTTAAAGATTTTATTTTAATTAATTTATTTTGGTCTTTTTGAGACAGGGTCTCTCTGTAGCCCCAGCTGGCCTGGAACTCGTATGTAGACCAGGCTGGCCTCAAACTCAGAGACCCACCTGCCTCTGCCTCCCAAGTGCTGGGATTAAAGGCATGCACCATCATGCCTGGAAGATTTATTTTATTAATCTTTGTGTAACTGTATGAGTGAATGCCACATGTGTACGTGTCTGAAGAAGCTTGAAGAGGGCGTTGGATGCCTTGGAGCTGGAGTTACAGGAGATTGTGAGTCAAGTGATATGGGTGCCAAGAACTGAACTCAGGCCCTCTGGAAGGGTAGGAAGCAGTCTTGAGCCATCTCTCCAGCCCCTCTGTGGAAATTTAAAATGTAATTTGGGGCTGGAGAGATGACTCAGTGGTTAAGAGCACTGACTGCTCTTGCAGAGGACCCAGGTTCGATTCCTAGCACCCACATGGTGGCTACAAACCGTCTTTAACTCCAATTCCAGAGGAATTCAAAGCCCTCTTCTGACCTCCGCAGCACTGCACAACCTGGGTGCACTCACATGCATGCAGGCAATGCACTCATACTCATAAAATAACAAATAAAATATTAAAAAAAATTTTTTTAATGCTGTAATTTAACCAGGAGTTTGTTCTGGGCAAGGTGCTGCTCAGCAAAGCCTTCTACCCAGTTTTCTTAGCACAGAGGCTAAGCCGCCACCTGGCCCTCCCTGTTCACACTCAACAGTGAAAGCTCAAAAACACCTTTCCACAGCAGAGGCGCAACCTGTAGCCAGTTCCCAGGAGCTCCTGTCATAGGTTTCTGTTTTTACAGTACTGGGCATGGAACCAGGGCCATGTGTGTTAGGCTCAACTGCTGAGCCACACTTTCAGCCTTCCCATTTAAAAAAAATGTTAATAGCCAGGTGTGGTGGCGCACACCTTTAACCCAGCATTCGGGAGGCAGAAGCAGATCTCTGTGAGTTCAAGGCCAACCTGGTCTACAAAGTGAGTTCTAGGTCTGCTGGGTCTACGGGGAGACCCTGTCTCAAAAAAAGACCAAAAAAAAAAAAAATTTAATAGCTCCAAAATGTGTTTCATTAAGCTGAAACTAACTTTTTTTTGGTACTGGGGATGGAACTTAAGACCTCACACATGGAGAGTAAATGCTCTAATGAGCTACAGCCCCAAACAAGGAACATCTTTTCATTTTACTGTGCATATGAGTGTTTTGCCTGCATGTATATACGTGCACGACACACATGCCTAGTGCTTGCAGAGGCCAGAAGAGGGCATTAGTCAGATCCCCTGGAACTGGAGTCACAGGCTGTTGTCGTGTGGGTGTTGGGAACCAAATCTCTGTCCTCTGCTCTTAACCACTGAGCTATCTCTCCAGTCCCACAACTAACATTAAAATACAGGAAGCACTCATGCAAAATAATTACAAAATAAGACACCAGGGCTCAAGAACGAGCTGATTTTCCTGCATGTACACACACACACACACACACACACACACACACACACACACACCACACACTAGGCTAGGGGCCCACAGATAGGGATCTCTGGACTGGCAGCTGCTGGCCAGTTGAGTGGACCAGCCCTGCGCAGCACAGCACTTGGCCTGTGTCCTCACTGAGGTACTCTGACATGCTGACCAGGCAGCTCCAGAGATGCCGTGGCAAGGCCTCGGGTGAGACAGCTGCCTGTGATGTGGAAGCAGATGAGAAAGAGCAGCTTGTGGCAGGGGCTCACAAGCCTGGGGTACAAGGGAAATAATAGAAGTGGGGATGAATACAGGGCCCACTATGGGCCAGACTAGCCCAGGGAGGGTTGCCTAGGGCACTGTTTGGACAGAGCTGCATTCCCATGTGAGCTGTTAATGCCTTATGTCCAAAGTGAATGTCCAGAAGGGCCTGAGGGGGCAGCTGAGGTGAAATGAGGCTGGTTCTCGTGGCTGGTGTCCTCTGAATTGGAAGATGGGCTGGGCAGCATGCTTAGTATGCCCAAGGCCTTAGGTCCCATCCCAGCACTGAAATAAGACACCAGCATGCCCTTCCTTCCCCATGTGCCAGGAAGTAAGGCCTCAGGGGACACCCATCCAAAGAGCACCTTAATCCTGGAATTTCCATCAGAACTTCTAGAAAAATCAGCTGTGGCTCAAGGTGTGCATCACCATGCCAGGATCAGTGTATGAAGCTGGAACATTCTGTGTCTTGCCACCGAAGCCCCCTTCCCTCCCATACACTGACGGTATCTTTAACATGGGCACCCACTTTCCCACTGTGCTGGGACAGTGGTATGTACATCAGACCCTATGATACCCACCGTAACAGGGAGTGTCACGCCACAGCCCAGTGTATGATTCATTACAAAGGTTCTATGGAGCCGGGCGGGATGGCGCACACCTTTAATCCCAGCACTTGGGAGGCAGAGGCAGGCGGATCTTTGTGGGTTCGAGGCCAGCCTGATCTACATAGTGAGTTCCAGGACAGCTGGGGCTACAAGGAGACCCTGTCTCAAAAAAGACGGAAAAAAAAAAAAGGTTCTATGGAAAAACAATGCAGCAACAGGCTCTGCTGTGACCGTCTGTTATATTTAGAAGTCTACAAATTGGACCTTTTAAGAAAGATTCACAAAATATTCACATTTTTGGTTCACCAAATTTCAAATATATTTTACTGGGCTGAACAATGCGTGCAGTGCTGTCTAAAACACAGCCAAGTCACTTTAGTGATTTACATAGATCCTGTAACTTTTGGAACACTAAGGTCAAGATAAAAAAATATTAACAATACTACCCAATTATAATCACCATTTCCCCAGACTCCGAACTACAGGCTGAAGCCAGATCTTCTTGCCTTACTCGGTTTTCTGTACATACATCGATTTCTAAGTGTATTTCAGGAGTTCTTGGCTTGCATCAATTCAAACAGTAACATCTTGATAAAATAAACTCCCTTGGCTCTTTGGAAGCTTAGGATTGTTAAAAGAACTCATTGGAAAACATTTTAAAGTGTAGTGAGCATATAAAATAATTTACAAAAGGACAGATGGCTTAAATGTTGTTTGAAATCAATGGGAATCTGTCACGTCAGATGCTGGGCACTTCAGCTCTTGCTTTTACCGTCCGCTCCTTTTCAGTGAGAGGTATGTGCTGTTGATTTATTTCTCCAGCATCCGCTGACTCTAGCAGCCCTGAGCCCCCAGTCCATGGATGCGCCTGTCCCCCTAGAGGTCCAGGGTGGGGTTGGAGGGAGGGCTCAGCCCCCCAGCTCTTAGATCTACCAATCCCACAAAAATAAAGCTACACTTGACCGTGACAAAGGCGCTGACCTCCAACAGAAGTGACGGCACAGCTTCTACTACATCAGAAACGGGAACATCTCAAAGGAACTATTAAAAATCAGGAGTACAGACATCAGGGGAGAAGCAGAAACAGTCTGCACAACTGTCGGGGCTTCGGCATGGCCAGACATGGTCCTGGGTCCATCTGAAGTGGAGTTCTGCCAGGATGGAGTCGGCGCAGCATCAAGATTAAGAGCCGTAGCGATCCTAGAGAGAAGCAGACCCACGTTGACCACCAGCACCTGCATATGCCTCCTACCGTGCATGCATCTGACTGGTGGCACCAGACTCCTGGCATCAGTCTAGGCACCAAGAAACAGACGAGTTCTTGCTGCGGCCTCTCCATGCCTAGGAGGGTGAGGGGGCTTTGGAGAGCTGCCTGGGGTCGCACCAAGGCCTGGAGCATCCAGGCTGTGCTAAGGATTGGGAGGCAGTGGCCAAGGCTGTGTATATGGGGTATGCTAGAAGTCTGAAACCTCGATTTTGGCCCTGCTGATCGTCTCTCTGCCTCCCTTTATGGGATGGGGATGTGAGTGGGTGTACCCCCAAAACAGGAATGCCACCTGCTAGGAGAACCTGGCCACGGGCCCAATTAGGGAGAAGCATTCCAAGCCCTTGCAGTCAGGCACTCACTGTCCACGGGACAGACTTTCCACACACTCCCAAGGCCACAGCAATGTCTTCTGGGGACAAAGATGGCTCTGTGGACCTAGAAATGGCCACGTCCACTCTGCCTACTCCCCAGAGACACATTTCACCCTAACAGAATTCTTCTAAAATAATTTCACATAAGGTTCCAGAAGCCAGTTGTTCACATAATCTAGGAAGGCCTTGTTATAAACCGTAGGTCCCATCCTTGCCTTACTGCCTGTTACGTGACTTAAGTCCATCTTAGGAAGACAAGTGCCCATTTTTATAGAGGTACATACAATCACGTATGTGTATGTTGTGTGTAATTGAGGCGGATCTGTCTGGAGGGGCAAAGGGGACCAATGCGGGGGGCACGCTCCAACTACTTTATATACTTGTAAGACATGTCCTCCAGAGCCATATATGATGGAAGATTCAACTAGTGAGAATAAGTTCAAAAAGACAAATATAGCAAAACACCCAGTGTGGGGAGTAAACAAATTAGATAAGCAGGCTTCTACTTCCTACAAAAGTGGCTGTGGAGAATTTTAACCATGTAGAGACCTTAGAGCACAGTCACAGGCCATTGGGTTCCCATTTCAAAGATATGCATAGGGAGCTGGGCGTGGATGGTACACACCTTTAATCCCAGCACTCGGGAGGCAGAGGCAGGCAGATCTCTGTGAGTTCAAGGCCAGCCTGGTCTACATACGGAGTTCCAGGCCAGCTGGGGCTACAGGGAGGCCCTGTCTCAAAAAGAACAAAAACAACAACAACAAAAAAAACGGAATTCTGTTCCGAACTAGGAATTAGGAAATTACGACAACCCCAGTAACAATTCTCCAGTCACAACTTAGAAAACTTTGTATTAAGGCAGCATCTTACTCTATAGCCCACTCGGGCCTTGAATTCAAGATCCTCCTGCCTCAGCTCCTGAGTAGCTGAGATTATACAGGCCTAGGCTACGAGGCCTAGTGGTTAGGAATTTTAAACATCCAACTGTAGCTTCTGGTTTCAAGATGCTAGGCTCTCCTACAGTACACACGGATCATGTAGCAATGATTCCATCCACATCTGCACGGCAGAACAGACCTCCAGCCCAGCTACAGATGGCGGTCTGCTGGGAGATACAGCCCTCCTTCACTGACCTGAATGGACGTCATGACCCCGTTGGCGAAGACAGAGAGCTTTCCAGCAACAGACCGCACGCCTTGCTTGAACTGGGCCATGTCGGGGGCATTGGGCAGCACGTTGGAGAGGTTGTAGTTTCCTGCACACACACAGATGCTTGCTTGTCCCTCTCCAAGGACACCTGTGCTAGGTGAACACGCCCTACCCTTCCTGCCCCCTCCCAATCAACAGCTGTGTCCAGGGAAAGGGACTCTGAAGTAGGGCGGGGCCTAGTATGAAAGACTGGCCCCACCACAGAGCTCCTCGGCCACCATAGCAGGGGGACATGGCACTCGGAGAAGCAGAATGCCATGCCCAGCACTGGCCATGAGGCGCTGGGGGTACTGGGAAAAGGGCCGTGGTCCTGCAATGGGCAGTAAGCAGGCCCCAGGCTTGGCGAGCATTGTGCTCATTCAACAAATGCATGACAGAGCTTCCTCCCAGGCTTTGTCGGGTGCCAAGGGCACAGACAAGAGAAGACGGGTCCTACCTCCAAAGAACTCCCGCCGTAGTTAGGAGAGACAGTCACTGGTGCCTTACCCCTGAGTGAGGCACAGGCATGTGGAGGCCTAAGGAGGCCCCACAGGCCAGGACAGCTGGAGAGAGGCAAAGCTGGTGAACAGGAATGAGACTTGGGAACAGGTAAGTGTGTGAGTGGACACAGGCAACACACCAACCCAAGGGCAAGGGGTCCAACCTCAGTGGCTGGACTGTCTTTGAAAGATCACTGGAAAAGGAGAGGGATGGGAGCAACAGGATGAGGCCGGAGGACACAGGACAGAAAGGCCCAGACCATGGTAGGGACTAGAGACAGGATCCTGGGAGAGACTCAGAGCCCAGGGCTCTGTCCCTCCCCTGGGGGGAGTCCAGGACTCCTCCTTGGCACTCAGAATGGGATGTTATGTACCAAATTCCCAGAAACGGAGACATCAAGAGAAAAATCTTCCTAAGATCGTCAGAACATCGAGTCTAACACGGATGAAAACACACCTACGGTAGCTGCTTCCTGAGACAGGTGCAGCAGCCTGAGACAGCATGGCTGTGGCAGAACTGGCCCCTCAGAGTCTCAGGACTGTGCTGCCTGACAGTGTAAGACGTCAGCAGGCAAAGCCCCCAGAGACCACTGAGCCTGGGGCTGTGGGGCCCATCCAGCCCAGGCTGTGTGCCACTGGAACCATTAGAGTGTTTTTTGAAAGAGATGCTGAAGGAGGCTGAGGAGAGGGCTCAGTGGATAAAGCGCTTGACACACAGGTGTGAGGGTCAGAGTTTAAATTCCCAGAACCCACAGAAGTGCCAGGTGGGTGTGGTGGCCCAGCACTTGGAACATGGAGAGGGGATTCCCAGACCAAGCTGGTTGGTGAGACTACATCTGTGAACTCTGGGTTCAATTAAGAGATCGTGCCTCAAAGAAAGGGTAGGGGCAATGAGGCATTCCCTCCGTCAATCTCGAGCCTCCGCGGGTATATGGTGTGCATGCACACACACTAAAACACACACACACACACACACACACACACACACACATACCAAGGACTGAGCTGGGCACTGAGCTTTTTGCTAACATGGCTGTCACAGACCTTCCTCTGCTCTGTCATTTGGGACCCTGAACATCCCACCTTTCCTCAGGCAGGGCTCAGTCCATCCACAAAGTCCACATCCCACTGGCCCCATCCACAGAAGTGGCCACAGGCCCTACTGCTATGCCTCTGGTACCCACACGTGCTTCTCACTCAAGCCTTCAACCTCCCCTACTGGGGAATGGCCCCGAGAATGGCCCAGGGCTCCTGCTCAATCACACCGTGGCCGTGATCTAACTCACAGGAACATGCAAACCATGACCTACAGATTGCTGCCCTCACACAAGGGATTGTTTCGGGATGAGACCATGGAATCACTTCTAACACCAGCTTTGACTTTGCTGAAGTTCAGAGAAGGAAAAATGTAATTTAGTGAGACCACCCCGCGTGCTGGGTTAGGGTAGTTACTACGGGCAGCTTTGAGAGGAGGCCAGGTGCGTGTGTATGCATGTGTGCAGGTCACAGCAGTCCCAACCACCTGACCTTAGGAAGTGCACAACCTCTGCCAAGAGCTGACTGCCAGCAGGACTGAGATCAGGGACAGCCAGGCACCCAGGGAGCAGCTTCTGAAGACCCTGAGTCCCTATGGACCTATGCTCTGTGACAGGACAGGAAGAATGTGAGCTGGTGTGAGCTGGTCATGGCTCTGTAACACTAGGAAGGATGTGTTTACTTTATCTCAAGAGCTGTTCTTTTTTTTTTTTTAACAATAATGTTTCAGGGTAAATGTTCCAGGAAACTGAATTAGAAAAGCAAGCGTGCCTGGGGATTAACCCACCTGCCTGCCTGTGCCAGGTTCCAACGTGATGACCCAGCTCTGACCTGAAGGTAGGGGAGGGAGATGCTGGGAGGCCTTGGAGTTGGCCAAGTGCCTCTGTGCCAGGGGTGGTTCATGGCACAACATGAAAGTAGCCATGACAAAAGGCCAGGATGTAGAAGGTTCAGAAATGAGACACCAAGCCCAAGAGTCACAGCTGCCCCAGAGCTGCCAGGAAAGGCCTTGCTTTTCAGTGGCTGACCAAGACTATCAGCCCTGGGCACCTGCCTCACTGAACACAGCCGCCTGCCTGCCAGCCACTCCGCTAGCACACACCAGGCTGGGATGTCCCTCTACACTGCCTGTAGCAGTCTGAGGGCCACTGTACCTGAGGGCCACAGTGAGTCCACATGCCCAAAGCTTCACGCAGAAGGTCCCAGACCTGGAGACTATCCTGTACTTCTCTGTTGAAGCTGAGACCGTGTGGCAAAAACAGGCTTAATTCTGAGTGGACAGTGAAAGACCTGTTCTGAGCTTCATGTCTGGGCTGACAGGCCATCCCTGTTAGACCCCAGCTCTGGAACAACCAGACACCCTGTGCAGAGGTGCGGACCCTGAGGAGGGAACAGCAGAGACAGGCCCTTCCTGTCCATCTGCCGGTTGCCAAGTTGTGTTGTCTTCCTGGGGAGTCACCGCTGCTGCATGCTTTGTGTGTCTTGAAAGCTGAGGGGCCTGAGGCACCTGCTGGGTACCAAACCCTGCATGCTAGCTCCTTACACAGCATCTCATATAAGCCTCAATGCAACTTTGTGTTATCCACCACTTCACAGATGGCGGAGCTAGAAGCTAAACACACCATCGTCCTGAGCTAGGGAGTGGCCACTATCTTGTAGTAGCCCACCACCTTCTATACAAACAACTTTTCAGGTCATAAGCCCACTGTGGCATAAACTCCATGACTTGTTTCCTGGGACACCTGGAATGACAACTTCAGCTATTCTGTTCACACAGGGACCAGAGTGTAAGATGTGATTTAGCCAGGCATGATGGCACACGCCTGTAGTACCAGCACTTGGGAGGCAGAGGCAGGCAGATCTCTGTGATTTCAAGGCCAGCCTGGTCTACATAGTGAGTTCCAGGCCAGCTGGGGCTACAGGGAGGCCCTGTCTCAAAAAGACAGAAAAAAAAAAAAAAGAAGGAAGGAAGGAAGGAAAGAAGAGGAGGAGGAGGAGGAGGAGATTAGGTAGTTTGGGAAGTGAAAGGTCTTACAGAGACGAGCCATGCTCAGACTGGAGATATGATGAAGGTCCGTGGGCCCCTTACCTGCAGTCTGCTTCCTCTGCTCGTCAAACAGGTCTGCAGAGCTGATGGAGGAGCTGGCAGAGAGCCTCTCCAGCCGGGCCCGGGTTTCGAACTAAACAGTACAAGAGGCAGTGTTACACACCAAGCCTAGGGAACAACTTTACCGAAAGAATCACTGAAGAGAGATTGGAGTGGGTTTGTCCCCTTTGGCGCATTTACCTCCCACGTGACCCCCCAGCAAGGTCCCGGGGTGGCACGAAGTTTGTATTCTGCATGGGATGCAGGTCATGGGTGGACAGGCGGGCACAGTCGGGGTGTTCCTCTCAGTCACTCTAAGAAAGGCCACTCTAGGAGACTGTCCATGCCCATCACATTTTTAGGGCATCAGTTGGAATGCATCACATTTATACTTTTTGTGTGGTGCTGGAGATGGTTGGAACCCAGGGCCTCGAGCATGCCAGGCAAGTGCTGAACCACTGAGCTGCACCCTACCCATCATCAACTTTAAAACAAAACCAATCTGAGGAACTGGGAAAACTGCCTCTGGCAATGATACCACTGTAGATAAAACCAGCACCATCAGGAAATAAGCCCCACAGTCCAAGCTCTCCCCACGCTCCTCCCTCCTCCCGAGAGTCTGGCTGGAGCACACCATACTTCAGCGCTAGAGGGAAACTGGCTGAGCCTTAGCTTAGCGGGACTCCACTGTGACCAGTACACACATGTTTCCCAGACAGGTACCAGCCAGCAAATGGTGTATGCCCTCACGAACATATCCACAGTTTGTTTAACTGTGGTAAGATGATCAGGGCAACTTGAGCCATAGAAAAAAACCTCCTGAAATTTACTCGAAATTGACTGTTGGCCATTTAAAACCCCAGAGAGGAAGAAGAGAAATTAGACAGGTCCCTGACTGCAAAGCTGTCCTCTTGTTGAAGTGGCAGGCCAGGTGCTTATGAAGGCCTGGGCTGCATCTGGGCTCCAGCGTTGTTGCCCTGGGGATCTCTGGCCCTTGTCCCTCAGCAGCCCCTCCTCCCTTGGCCCCTCCAGCCAAGCTTCCTTCCTGCTCTGTGGGGTCCCCTTAGAATCTCTTTGCACTCTTACATCTGCCTGGGCTTGTCTTCCAAAATACATATCTGAGGAAATGGCCTTGACATTGCCAAATTTCTTCTGGGCTTCATCTGTATTATCAACAGCCTCATAGTCCTGCTTCCGGCGGGCACTAGGTCTATGATTAAAAACAGCCAAAGTGGGTTAAACTAAGCCAAGGTCAAAGCAAATGTCATCTCACGTTTCCATCCCAACGTGGAGTTCCATGTCTCAGCTACGTTAGCAAATGCCGAAGGCACTGTGTAGGCACACCAGGACACCACTGTCCATTATGTGGGATATAAACTGCTTGGTGTGGTGGGACATCCTGGCTCCTGGCCAACCTCAGGTGACACATGTATGCCCCGTGCACTCTCAAAAGCTCCTTGGTATAGATGACTAATGATGGGCTCCTTTTACCATAATATTGGGAGGCAGCTCTTCAACAGGTGGGCAGGGACATGGAGGTCAGGCCAACAGGAGTAAGACCCAGCCAGGAGCCAGGGGAAGGGCTCAGGGCTAGACTAGGAGAGATGACCCAGTCCACATAGCACCAGGAGAAGGTAGGAAAACAAACCAGCAGGGGCCGGGGCTCAGGACGAAGAGCCGGGGACTTGGAGAGATGGGTGTCCTGCATCTTGTTCTTAGAGGCCACTACATGGCTGTTAGTCAAAACTAGGAGAGTACAGCCAGGTGTGGACAGAAGCCTGGCACCCCAGATCCTCTGAAGGCTGAGGCAGGAAGATCTCAAGGTTGAGGTCAGCCTGGATAACTCTCTGAGACACAACCTTGACATAAACTATTAAGGGGCTGGAAGATGGCCAAAGAGCACTGGCTGCTCTTGCACAGGACTGGGGTTTGGTTCCCAGCACCCACATGGCAGCTAACAACTGTCTTTAAGTCCAGTGCCAGGGGATCTGACACCCTCTTCTGGCCTCTGTGGGCAACGCATGAATGTGATATATACATGTAAGGCAAAACAATCATACACATAAAATAAAGATAATAAATATGCTGGACACGTGGCACATGCCTTTAATCCCAGCACTCAGGAGGCGGAGGCAGGTAGATCTCTGTGAGTTCAAGGCCAGCCTGGTCTACATAGTGAGTTCCA